AATTAAACTGTTTATATATAAAGATCGTAAGATAGTTAATTATTTGGTTTATTAAACTTTAACTGTAAAAATGTTTGTATTTATATCAAATATAAGTACATGAGTTTAGTGTTCGAGCGTGTTTAATTGACTTTATTTTTTGTGAAAATGTCATTTTTTTTACCAAAATTTCTACTTTTGGGATATTTGATTGATAATTTTTTCATGGAAAATATTTTTGATCTTTCGGTCATGTGACCATATTTTCCTCAAGAACAAGGAAAATATTTTATTTATCCACTGTCCATCCACCGATAAAAAATAGACAAATATAATATTTTTAAGTTAAAAATTAAATCAATAAACACATTTAATAAATAATTTTCATAAAAAGAAGTAGAATTTTTTTCCCCTACAAATTCCATGCTCGCAATTAAGGACGTGTTCGGTAGAGATCAAAATCGGATTAAAATTGAAAAACTACTCGTTATTGTTGACTTTTATTAGACGAGTGAGACCCAATAACGCCCATATTTTCAATTTTAATTGGATTTTAATCACTCTCGAACGGGGCCTTANGGTAGAGATTAAAATCGGAATAAAATTGAAAAACTAGTCGTTATTGTTGATTTTTATTAGACGAATGAGACCCAATAACGGCTATATTTTCAATTTTAATTGAATTTTAAGTACGACTGAACACGTCCTAAACGTACTCTTATAGTAATTTTATAATAAAAACCATTTTAGCCCCCATTTTTCTTCCTTTAAAATAAAACTCTTTAATTTTTATACATATTTTCAATTGCATAGTAATCAAATATTTTGCAAAAAAAAATTTACTATTCAAAATATCTTTTTTTTTCTACATAATCACGATCAAACGGGGGCTTTGTTGAGCAAAGAAAAATATTTTAATTAACTTCTCTTCACCATATCACCACACCTCTCTCTCTCTCTCTCTCTCCTCGTTTCCTCTGTTTTTCCGATTTTCAAAAGTTCAAACTTTCAATTTCATATCTCCATTTCTATCCGTACGAACCCTAATTTTTATGTGTAATCTATAAATACAAATACGAATATCTCTTGATCTCCTTTGATACTACTGGATCTGCTGCGATTTGTGCGCCGATCTCGTGGTTTTTGGTACTACAGAATTGGCTTGTGTATTGAATCTGAGCCGTTGATTTTGGGATAGAGAGTGGATTGAATTGAATTGATGGATGCCATCGATGAATTGTCGCAGCTCGCCAATTCCATGCGGCAAGCATCAGCGTTGCTTGCCGACGAAGATGTTGATGAAACGACGTCGTCTAGGCGCCCCTCCACTTTTCTCAACGTTGTTGCTCTCGGCAACACTGTACGTCATTTTTATTTTTTATTTTTTTGTTTAACTTGTTTTGCCTATTTTGGTAGTTAGGATTGCCTTTTTTTTTTAATCTGTTCAGATCTCTAGAGCTAGCTGATTTTTTTGGATCTGATAATTTGATCTAAATGGAATTAGAATGAATTTGCGTTTTTTGTGTGACGTGAGTAAAGTTGTTTCTTTGGTTTTAATTTGTAATTTGGTGTGATGTATTATGAATTGGCCGCGGGTTTGAATTGATTCTGTTTGATTGAAGTAATGATGAAATAGATCATAACTTTTCTAGTTGTCTTGGATTGGATAGAATGAAATTTCTTTACATGCTACAGAAATGTGCAGCGTGTACAGAATAATGCACAAGAATAGTGTGCACAAAGTGCCCTCGGAGATTGTTCAGTACTTGTGTATTGTATTTCCCTTTTAAAAATAAAAATAAAAAAATCGAGTACTTCTCAACATTGTTGCCTACCTTTTTTATATTGATGCTAACAATTATCAGTGAACTTTAGCTAAATGAAAAATGAGATGTGTTTATTTTTCGAAACAAGTTGATTTCAGATTTGCAGTGATTCGCAGTTGAGCTAGCTCCCATTGTAGGAAATCAGAAAAGAGCAGAAGATGACTTTTTTCACTCCTAGAAAATCACTCTTGAATTTTACTGAGTTAATTTAGTAGAGACTGTTGATCAACAGGTATCCAGATATACTGGGGGACTAAAATTGGCAATTCATGACAAATTATCAAATCAGCCCATTTGGACCTTAATTGATGCAGTAAACTTTGCACTAAAAGTTGTGAACCAACTTAATAAACTCCAAATGCGTGCTTGAATGATTCTCGACGTCCATATCAAGACATTGAAGCTGCCGTTTCAAAATGGCGAAGTGGGGGTAGCAAAAAAGCTATGAGTACCCGAGCTACCCTTACTTGTGATCAATAGGCAATCATTGGATTAAACGTTCAACATCAACCTTCTCGGGCTACTACCGATGCTTACGCACGACCAAACCTCAAGAAGTGTTTTAGGTGTGGTCAAACAGGTCATCTTTCTAATGATCCCTAACAATTAATTTTGACGAAGGCAGAGAAGAGATAGAGGAGGAACCAGAAACTGAGAAAACTTACGAATGTGGTGAACTTAATTCAGGGAATGATGGCGATGCAGTCAATTGTATTGCAAAACGACTTCTTTTGGCTCCAAGGAAAAATGATGATACTCGACACCTCAAATCTTTTGTATCCACTCCACAATCAGTACAAAAGTGTGTAACGTCGTTGTCGATTGCAGCAATAGTGAGAATTTGTCTCTAAAACACTAGTGAAGACACTAAACTTGAAGACGTAAAGACACCCAACCCTTGTAAAATTGCATGGATCAAGAAATGTATGAAAGTTCAGATCAAGGAGGTTTGCAAAGTTCTTTTTTTGATTAGGAAGTACTACAAGGATGAGGTTGCATGCCATGTCCTTTTAGGAATTCCGTGGCTATTTGACGTCAACTTCACTTACAAAGTTTGAGACCGTACTTATATATTTTGGTGGTATGATAAGAAGATAATCTTGTTGCCCCAATGAAAGCAATTTGAAGAAATTAACGCTCCTAAGCCCCCCCGTTGGACAACCATTATTTGGGAAAAACAACGTTTGAATGGTAAATTTTAAGAAAACATGTGGTTAAGAAGTAGAGAAAAGTTTTGGGTTGACGTGGAGAATATTTTATTGTATAAATGTGTGGTTAAAAATAAGTACGTAGAAAAAAAGTTTTCAAATAATGGTCTTAAAACAGGGGCTAAAAGTGAAGGAGAACTCTTCAATAGTATTTTTGGGCTTTAATTTCTTGAATCCAAGCTAAGATTCGAATCCTCTTAACTTGATAGTAGAATTGTTGGAGTATTTCGCCCCCTGATTCATTAATTTTCTCTTTTCAACCAAACTCAAGGTCAAGTTTTCTTCAAGTGTGGGAGAATGATGTTTGGCAATCTTATTATAAATAGGATAGAATTTAGTTTTTATTATAGTAGGATTAGTAGCTATTATAGTAGGATTTTTATTTCCTTTTAGGATTTTAGTTTTCCTTCATTTTTGTAACATTGTTTAATTTTCTTATATCGTTAGGATTAGTGGGTTAATTTACCTATATAAATAAAGGGTTGTATACTTTTTCAACCATCAACTCCATTATAATAAACTTACTCTTTACAAAACTCTCGAGTTTCAAATCTCTTTTTTGTTTCAAGAAATTTTATTCTGCTTCGCTCCTTATAGAATGACATGAGCAAGAGAATGGTTACACTATGAATGTTGGCCTCAGGAATACGCCTGTGATGAATTTGTTGACAAATGAATATCTCACAATGGTAGTAGCCCGTAAATATTTATTGATTGAATAATAGGTGATATATAGATTTGATCTGTTAACTGTCACTTCACTGCACTGTCTTCTTTTATCATGGCAATGACTGGATCTTCTAATGTGGATGGATTGTTCAGGGTGCAGGCAAGTCTGCTGTATTGAATAGTCTAATTGGGCATCCTGCATTGGTAAGGATTTTTTGTTTGGAACTTTTGTGTCTTTTTTGAAATTATTATTTTCACCCATTACCTAGTGGGCATTAATATTTTCAAGTTTAATATTTTATGATGCAGCCAACTGGTGAAGGGGGTGCCACTCGTGCTCCAATTTGTATTGATTTGACGAGGGATAGCTCGCTCAGCAGCAAATCAATTATTTTGCAGATTGATAGTAAATCTCAACAAGTTTCGGCAAGTGAGGCTTCTTCCTAAACTATGAACCAAGAGCATCAATCAATATGCATCGAATCAATCACCCTCTTCCCCATTTTTAAAATTAGAATCAATATGTTATCATTCAGTCTCATGATTCCAAATGAGTTTGTTCTTTTGTTTTTGGCCCATCATAGGTGCTCTTCGGCATTCATTACAAGACAGACTAAGCAAAATCTCAAGCAAGAGTCGCGACGAGATATATTTAAAGCTTCGAACAAGTACAGGTCTGTGTGGTTTTACAGAAATATTTGATTTTCTCAACTGATAGAGCTGTCAATGTGCATTTTTTTGTGCTCTCACCTTCACGTATTGATCCTAGTTGTGGAGCAATTTCTAATGATTTTCCTTAAGAGAAAAATGGAAAAGAGAACTTGGAAAATTTTGGCATTATGGTATATTCATCTTTCTACTTGATTGCAATAGGGCAATATAAACTCATCTTCCATTTCTTACCAACTGAAAAAATCTGAATGCAGTTTTAATGAAGATCGGTTTTCTTCTTGGTTACACATTTAAATATAAAGATAAAGAGAGCTTTAAGCATGGCACATGATCTCATGTCTTATGAGGTTTCTATGACTATCGAAAAAAAATTTATTAATTAATGCCTGTAATAACATTTTAGTTTTTGATAGTTTATATATTATGCTGATTTGCTTCATATGCAGCTCCTGCATTGAAATTAATTGATTTGCCTGGGGTAGAGAAAGGAAATCTCGATGATTCATTAGTGAGTGGCTTCTAAACATTTTCTCTTATATTCTGAACCATATTATTCTGCAATGATTTATAATAATTTTATTTTATTTTTTCTAAATATATTTCCTAAATAGGTTTAGATTTCAAAACTTTTTTTTGGAAGTTCAATACCCGTTTCTCTTTTACAGAGTCAATATGCTGAACACAGTGATGCAATATTGCTGGTTGTAATTCCTGCTTCTCAGGCTCCCGAAGTTGCAACATGTAAAGCTATCAGAATAGCTAAGGAGCTTGATGGAGAATGTAGGTTTGCTGCATTTATTTGGTTTTGATGCCTGAACACCAAAAAAGAAATTGGGCTTTTTTGTTTTTGGAGATTCCACTTTTCCATAATATATTACTTTAGATGAAGCTCCAAAGCAATAATTGGTTGTTCTGTACTTGTCAGGTACAAGAACTGTTGGTATTATTAGTAAGATAGATCAAGCAGCTTCAGAACCAAAAATCATAGCTGCTGTACAGGCTCTTTTGTTGAATCAAGGTCCACGAAGCACATCTGACATCCCATGGGTTGCTTTGATTGGTCAGTCTGTCTCCATAGCATCTGCTCAATCTGGCTCTGTTGGAGCTGATAATTCTTTGGAAACTGCATGGCGAGCAGAGAGTGAAAGTCTGAAATCTATACTAACGGGGGCCCCTCAAAGCAAGCTTGGGAGATTAGCTTTGGTGGAGACCCTTGCTCAACAAATCCAAAATCGTATGAGACTAAGGCTTCCTAATCTCCTCTCTGGGTATATTACCTTATCCTATTTCTTATGTTTTAATATCTGTTTAGTTAATCCATTTGGAAGAGATTGATTCTGTTTGTAAGACCTTAATCAAGTATTGCTTTTCGTACACTTTACTGTCCTTTTCCCTTTAGATATAATATATAAAAGAAATCACTGAATCAGCACTCTCCGTTTTTCTGCACAACATAGGATTGCTGCCTTGTATTATAATAAAGAAAGCTAACTATAGGCAAAAATCTCATATAGATGCAAATCATTACCTGAGTGTGAACTGAATCGAAAACAAGTGACAAAAATTTGGCATTCTTCTTTAGCTGTAATAAAGAAGAGCACGGATGCTACTTCATTTCAGTCTCCTCACATAATACCTGATTTTATTCGATGTTATTTTTCTTTTACTGTTTGTCGAGTATCAATTATTCTTGAAGTTTATGGGGTTGGATGCATATAGTTGGGATACCTGCTTCCTATATTGCAGTCCAAGTGACTTTTATTTGATCATTTTTGCAACTATTGCAGGCTTCAGGGAAAATCCCAAATAGTGCAGGATGAATTAGTCAGACTTGGTGAACAAATGGTTAATAGTGCTGAAGGTACAAAAGCTTTGGCTTTGGAGCTTTGCCGTGAATTTGAGGATAAGTTCCTCCTGCACATTACAACTGGTGAGGTGAGACTTAGGTGGAAAATTCTCCTTTGGCTAATTTGTGTAATTATGAAGATTTTTTGAGTAATTAAGATGAAGAAAAATTTCATTATAGCATCACTTGAAGACTGAAAGAGTATCTTTGGATGCTGTACGGGTCTTTTCTAGATCAAGCCCTTGTTTCATTTTGATTTTTTGCAAAGTGATTTTTTTTTGGAGAAGGTGTGATAAAAAATAAGGGAGCAGTTATGTGTTCACGTGCAAAATTATTTTATTGGGAGAATATATGGTTGAAAATGAGTTCGAGAAAAAAGAATCAAATCGAACAAGAGCCAAATTCGAGCTTCCGATTTTCTTACCACTCGATGATAAAATATGGGATTCTAATCGTTTAGTATTTCTTATTGAGTTTTTCTCTTTATTATGTAGTTGTTCATAGTGTTGATGGTCATCGCCATCTTTTCCATGCACGCTTAAGTTTTGTAAGATGTCATAGATTTTGGTTGTTTGTGCAAAGTAATGCATTGGTTTGGCTAAACACACTGAGCATTATTACTTTGATAATGCATATGGTTCTGAAGTTCCTTTTCATTTCTTCCAGGGTTTTGGGTGGAAAGTTGTTGCTAGTTTTGAGGGTAATTTCCCAAACAGGATGAAGCAGCTCCCACTAGATAGACATTTTGACTTGAACAATGTTAAGAGGGTATGCATTCTACACTACTGTAACTTCAATTGTAAGCATTTCCGTCTTAAGTTTTCATGTTTGTTCTAATGTGCCTTTACAATAACCATTTTCCCTTGTTATTAGATTGTTCTGGAAGCAGATGGTTATCAGCCTTACCTTATTTCTCCTGAGAAAGGGTTGAGGTCTTTAATAAAGAGTGTTTTAGAGTTAGCAAAAGAACCTTCACGTCTTTGTGTAGACGAGGTAAACCAGTGTTACCCATTTTTTGTTGTCCTTTTGTTGTCGTTTTACTTATGTGTAGGTGTTCTCTTCGTAAATTGGTTTCTTGTTTTCCACACGTTCTTTTGATTGCTCACTAATACCAAAGAATTGTCATCTTCTCTGATCTCTTCCATGCCATTTGACTTTTCTTACCATTATTTTTAGTATATTTAAGATGTTATTTAGTTCTAGATAGATGTTGAGTATATATCATTGTTTACTTCAAATTGATGAATTATTAAATTGGTATCCGATTAAATGTGTAATTTGATCGAGGTTCTGTTGCAATTGCACTTACATCTGTCCCTCTCCCATTTTTGAGTCCATGGATTCCTGACTCTATTCTTGGTGAATTGGTTTTTATTGAAGTCTTGACAGATCCCTGCTGATGTATTTCCTTCAGGAGGTTCTCTTTTACCAATACACTATATTACGTTTTGCTGAGCTGCCATTGACATCAGATCGCCCATTTCTTTTGTTGTACATGAAATCCTGTTAGTTCTTAATGTGTACTCTTTGGATCTACCTTCAAGGCTATTATACTTGAAAATCTTTGGACAGGTGCACCGGGTACTTGTTGATATTGTCTCAGCTGCTGCAAATGCTACTCCAGGTCTTGGTAGATATCCTCCTTTTAAGCGAGAGGTAATCATGAGTTGCAGACATTCAATCACTTGTATAGGTGTAAGGATGTGTTTATTCGCTCAATCATCATGTAAAAAATTGTTTGCTTCTTTAATTTGCTAGGTTGTGGCAATTGCCACCACTGCTTTGGAAGGGTTTAAGAATGAAGCAAAAATGATGGTAGTTAACCTTGTTGACATGGAGCGGGCATTCGTTCCCCCTCAACACTTTATCCGCTTGGTGCAGAGGCGGTATGTTCACCAACTGTGGTAGTTTAGTTGTTAACTTTTTCCAAACTCATTCTTTTGGAGAGATGTTGAATATAAGATTATTATGTATTTTAGATTTATTTGGATGCATTATCTTCTTAGATGTCGATTTCGGAGGGAGTAATGCTTCATATTTTTCTGTCACAATCTCTGTATCAGTTTCCCCTGTTTAAGGATAGTGTATATTCTTACAATGTCTACATCTGATGGTTTTTGTCAGGATGGATAGACAGAGACGCGAGGAGGAGCTGAAAACTCGATCTTCTAAAAAAGGTGTTGAAGCTGAGCAGTCCATACTGAACAGGGTACACTTTTATCGATGAGTGCGCTCATACGGATGTCTGAGATTATTGTTTTTATGTACTGTTATCATGGCTAGTACAATATGCCTAAGAATCTGTGAAATATTTCTGTTCGTAAACCCTTGGGATTTTTGTGTACTTCTAAATGTCTTGAATGCAACATTCAGGCCGCTAGTCCACAAACAGGAGGCCAGCAAAGTGGAGGGAGCTTAAAATCAATGAAGGATAAATCTAGTCCGCAAGATAAAGATGTACAAGAAGGATCAGGCTTGAAAACCGCAGGGCCTGAAGGGGAAATAACAGCAGGTTTGTGCAAAAAATTCTGTCTTTTCTTTCATCAATAAAAAATCACATATTCTTTCCTCCTACCTTTAACTTGATCATGTTTGCATCATGTGCACATTTCATTACCTCTTTCACTCACCTTGTTGTGAAATAATTAATTAATACTGGTGGCCTTAGTGTGTGATTGATGAGCTATGCTGCAGACAGTTCATTTTTCATCTGTATGTAAATAAAGCAGTGATCTGAATGAGTACTGCTACTCATGGAATTTGCACTTTTGTAGTTTGAAGCTGTTTTGGTAAACTGGGCATTTTTTGTTAATACATAAACTGTGAACAAATAACCTGGCACAGTTTTAGGACAGAAGGTGTAGAGAAGAACTATTTACGTGAATCACATAAGAGAAAGCAAACAACTTATTTTAGGCATGCATAGCAGCCTTGTCAAATAATGTATTAATAGCTTGTTTGGGAGGGATTTTAATCTAATTAAAATTGAAAATATAGCCGTTATTGGGTCCGACTCGTCTAATAAAAGTCAACAATAACGGCTAGTTTTTCAATTTTAATTCGATTTTAATCTCTACCAAACAAGCTATAAGATTGTCCCTGATGCATGATTTACTAGGGCAATGGCTTCTTCAATGCTAAAATCATTGCATGGGCTTCCTATTCTGTACTTTTATTCTGGCAATGTTTTGATTGAGTACCTTTTAACCGTTTGCAGGGTTCTTATTGAAGAAAAGTGCCAAAACTAATGGTTGGGGTAGAAAATGGTTTGTTTTGAATGAAAAAACTGGAAAGGTGAGAAAAAAGTGGCAAAGCCCTTTTAATGTTGGATAATCATTTTTAATTTACTGAAATACTTCTTGTACCTTTTCTTCTCTTTATTCAATGGCTCACCAGGAGAATCGTCTCATCTCTAATCCAAATCCTAATTAGTTCTCTTTATACACACGTCAAGCACTTATAACAATTTTTTTTTAATCTTGAACTTTTCATCAACAGAGAAGGTTCTTTTATCTGTTTGGGGTTTGGATTGATAATCATTTTGAGCTTTTCAGCTAGAATATCTGTGGTTAAACCATTGCACTTAGATTTTCTCTGGGTTTCGAATAGACCGAAACTTAATGGTATACCTTCTGGAATGAGTACAATTGAACAAATACAACCATTTTATAATGAATAATGCATCGTATTTGATGATTAAATGTGTCTTCTGCACTACTTAGTGGTCTCATTATTGCTTACGCGATGAATGTCTACTAATAGATCTCCTCTTGCAGCTTGGGTACACCAATAAACAAGAAGAGCGACATTTCCGTGGTGTTATCACTTTGGAGGTATACAACATGTGTATGAACCTTTTTTATGTATTTTAAAATTTTGAAAATGAATTTGAGGGAGTTATCTTTTACTTGATTAGTTTCAGAGTCTGTTTCTAGAAGTTTATGGTCCTTGTTTGCCTTGTCTCCTTTGTAAATTGGTCTGTTTCTTTGTATTCGGGTACCCCTACATTTCCAGATGCTTGTGTCCCTGTAATTATTTAAGTACCATTAATCTGTTTGTGGCATTCTTAGCCCCCATTATTTGTCATTATTTGAGATTATAATTTTTGAAAGTGCTTTTTTTAAAAAATGTGTGGTTAAAAAAGAAGAAATTGTTTTGGATTTACGTGTAATATTATTTTATTGGAGAATGTGTGGTTGATAAGAAGAGAGAAAAATGGATTATAATTTTAATGGGGGCTTAAATTAATTGCAAATCTGATTTTTAATTGATTGGAGTTGCTTAACTGATATTAATAATATAAGAGGAGAGAACTATCATATGAAAGTGGAGTTACATAAAATTAGTGCATTGGCATGGTTATATTTTTCTTAATTTTCCTAAGATTACTTAAGCGAAAATGGGGGAGCCACGTATTCAAGGTGTATAGAGAAAACACACTACTAACAGAACATTTTCTCTCTTCCAAGAATCAAGACATGAGTGGTGGATTGTCTTGTCCAAAATAAAGAAAAATAAAAACTTAATTTTGATTTCCACGAAGAGATCTTAATGCATTAAGAAAGCTCTCGTATTACTTTTCCATCTGAAGGAACCAAATTTTCCACGCCTTTACCACTTTACTGGCAGTCAACCCCCTCCAACATAAGAGCTTCTCATATGTATATTATGTAGAATCACAGTTCATTATTACAAGGTTTTATGCTTGTAGTTATTCTTTTGTGGGTTGACTAAATTTGTGACAAAGTTCTTCGTGCTTAGTGCTTGTTTACTTGGAANGGAATTTGGTGGCTATTCTGCTTCTGTCTTCATTTTTTGCATCCTGTTGGTATTTTCCCAATCTCTTTGACTACAATGTTTGAATGTTTATTCTAAATAAAATAGAAAAAGGAGGAAAAAAATGTACTATTGAAATATTCCATCTTTTCAGCATTGTATGCGATCAAATATTTGAATGTTCAAAACACATTGTTATATCATCAGGAATGTAATCTAGAAGATGTATCTGAGGAAGAAGAAGCTCCTTCTAAAAGTTCCAAGGACAAAAAGGCAAACGGTCCAGAGAAACCACCCAGTTTGGTATTCAAACTAACAAGCCGGGTTCAATATAAAACTGTTCTTAAAGGTATATTGTGAATGTTGGTTGTTAATCTTTTATTTTTTATATATGCGTTGACACTTGGTGCTTTGATGTTGCAGCTCATAGTGCTGTTGTGTTAAAGGCTGAAAGTATGGCAGATAAGACAGAATGGTTAAAGAAGTTGAGAAATGTTATCAGTTCTAAAGGAGGTCAAGTTAAGAGTGAATCTGGCCCCTCCATGCGGCAAAGTCTTTCTGATGGTTCTCTTGTAAGTAAATAAGTGAAGTTCATTGCCTTTCTGCTCTAATATATGATATCATAATTTTCATTTCTTCTAGTTCTTGTTCTGTTTAGCCTGTCAGATACTAAGCCCTTGTTTGGCTACTTTTTATAAATTGTTTATAATTAGCCAGACACTTTTTATCCAAATATTTCGTGAGATCCATAAGTACTATCCACTTATCCACCACTTGTTTTATCTATTTGTAATTTTAACAGTTCATAAACAACTTTTAAACATGCTTTAAATAATTTTGGTATACCTGAGCAACATCTCTTTTAGTTGGTTAGGATATGTTGTTATAATCCTTTCTAAGACTTAATAATAAGATATTTAACATGTGGGTGAACCATTTAGGATACAATGGCTAGAAAACCTGCAGATCCGGAAGAAGAGCTTCGCTGGATGGCTCAGGAAGTGCGTGGTTATGTTGAAGCTGTTCTTAACAGCCTTGCTGCCAATGTCCCAAAGGTAAGTTTCAAACTGAATGTTCATTGTGAATTGTTTTATTTGAAGCGGAATCTTGATATGCAATTTATTGGGATTTTCAGGCTGTTGTTCTTTGCCAAGTAGAAAAAGCTAAGGAAGACATGCTCAATAAGCTGTACAGTTCTGTCAGGTTAGCACCACTATTATACCTGTATGTAATATACCGTTTGCCTTGTAATTGTCATATTCATTATCAAGTGTGAGAAGCAGGCATGAGAAATAGAACAGTATTTTGTTGATTCGTGTTTCGTAACCATTCACATGCATCCAAACACATCATTTCTCATCTATTAATTTCTGTTATACTGTTATTCTTCTTGCCTCATCATTACATTTTCATTTTGATGTGGATTTCTAGTGGTCAAAGTACAGCAAGAATTGAAGAGCTTCTCCAGGAGGACCATAATACAAAGCGCAAGAGGGAGCGTATTCAGAAACAGTCTTCTCTTCTTTCCAAGCTCACCAGGCAACTTAGTATTCATGATAACCAGGCAGCTGCAGCGTCAGAATTTTCGAATGGTGGAGCAGGTGATTATTAACTCATTTTGGTTTCTTTACCTCTACAGTGTGTTATGAATCCTTTGCAAGCACAAAATCCCGTGAAACTATTCCCTAGTTGCATTGGAGAATTTTAAGCATCCCCATATGAAGGATTACTGTTGGTAATAGTGCATTTCTTTAGAGTGCTGAACACCAACATCAAAACAATGAAATTGGAAATTTGGAATACACAATTAGAGAAGCCAAAAAAACATGCACGTTAGGGTAAGTGGAATAAAGTCTTGCATCAAGATTTGATGATTAATTTGGTACAAGTACAACTGCTTCATTCTTGACTGTTAAAGAAAAAGAGGGGATAATAGCCGTGACTGATTACTTGTGATCTACATGTAGACAAAAAGATGCACATTTCTGTTTACATAATAATGTTTAGAGTTTGTACTTTGTAGTAGCAATTCAAGTTGATATTATGACTTGGAAATTCAGCTACGATTTTCTTTGCTCTGATTTGCTATGTTGGCATGATTTGGGGATGGGGGCGGGAGAGGGTGTATGCACTGCTAGTCACTCGACTTTTAGTGAAATTTCATTTGTCTCAAGCTGGTCACTGAAAAACTCCGTTACCAGTTAGTTACAAAGTTTTAAGTTCAGTAACCAACCTCGAACAAAATAGTCGTGACCAACTTGAAATTTTGATAAAAGTTTGGGGGCTCCAGGCGTTTTCAACCTTGGAATGATGACAACCTTACCATACTAAGTGGCTCATGCATCATTTCTACACGTGTAAACTTAAACTTTTTTCCTTATTGACTTGTGCAGAAAGCAGTCCAACTTCGGCCAGACCCTCATCAGGTGATGACTGGAGATCAGCATTTGATGCCGCTGCCAATGGCCCAACTGATTCATATGGGGGCTCTAGGCATTCATCCAATGGTCACAGTCGTCGGTACAGTGACCCTGCTGAAAATGGCGACGTGGGCTCTGGCTCAAACTCCAGCAGCCGCCGCACCCCTAATCGATTGCCACCTGCTCCACCTCAATCCGGATCTTCTTATAGATTTTAGATTAAATAATTTTGATTATTGATTCATGCATTCTTATTGGGTGATTGCTCATGCCTACTCGTCTTGAGCTCTAGAATTGTCATACACATCTTTGTAGATATCAATATTGTTTTTGCGGTTGTGTTTGCCATTGCTGATTTTCGAGATGTACTTGCACTAACTTCCATTGGAATTTTCTTCTTCCCTTCGGTGTTTATCATCTATATTTTTTGACAAATATGCTGAGACGTGCTTTGTGATTAGTAATTGTAGTGTTCGTACATTATCATGATCACGATCATGATCACGTCGTCGTCGTTGTGGTGGTGAATTGAACGAAGATAAAATATTCGTGTAGTCAATTTCAAATTTATCGGTATGAGTTTTGTTTGTTGCTTGTATGAATTTTTGATATGGGTGAAATTGTGCTGTTGAATAGTTCATTGCACATCAATGCATTCTTGACAAAGAAATGCCTGTTACTTTCCTTCTTGAATGTGAGAAGAGGGAGTTGCAATTGTATACGAAGGTTGCGGCTAGAGATTAGTATATCTCTATACATCTGTCTCATGAAGATAGGTTTGAATATAATTTTATTTTTATTTATTTATTTTTTTTGTCCGTGTCAAATTATAAGCTACCTTTCTTATTGAGAGTATAGATAGTATTTTTTTTAGTTTTCTAATGTAGGGATATATTAGAAAAAAATATAAGAAAAAATTATATTTTTAAATATATTAATTATATATTTTTAATCTGTGTAAAAATAGAAATAAATTTATTTTTATGAGGGGGAGGTAGTAGAATTATTGGAAGAAATTCGACAGATCGACAAAGGACACAATATGAAAGAGAGGACCAATTGACACCTTTGCCCCTTGCAGCACTTTTTTCTCGAAAGGTTTGTGTTCGTGACAAAGTTATTGCGATTTAACTCTGTATTTTATCTGCCAAGACCACTTGGCTCTAGCGGGATCTTCCGATATAGAAAGTGGATGTTCGATGCTACAATTCCCATCCCAATCCCCTAGTGTAGTCAAAATGTCATTTTTTTAAATTTTAATTTGATCACTCACTTAATTCTGTTAATTTTTCAAATAATAAAGTAGAAAACTACAAGTCAACGTTAAGTCAAATTGTCATTCTTCACAATGAAAATTGAACAAAAACCAAGACTTTCATACTCGATTTTAAAGATTTATGAAAAATCAATGAAAGTCATGTACAGCTTGGAAGGAGACTTTTCGTATCTTTCAAAATATTTATTCCCTTTCAAAGTTAAACGACTCTATAGTTAGACTGAACAATGGAGAACATGTGTTCATTTGTGTAGGATCCCAGTGCATTTTCCTTCGTTCGGCCTACAGTCATTGACTTCAAGAAATGGTAAAAGAATGGGACCTATTATAAGACATACAAAACATTACAAGCATATGATTATGAAACAATGGTTAAATCAACCGAGTATTCAACTTTTCAAAATCTTCATAAGAAAGAAAATAACTTCTATACCTAATTGATAGTTCCTCTTGCTTTAGTTCCCTATGAAGGCACTTCTGATTTCTAAAAAGCAAAAGACCTTGTTTTGGGCATAAACAAGCTTTGTCAACCGTTGACTGATATTTCACTCTATCGAGGAACCCGATTTGGATTTATGTTGACTTTATTGGGAGGCTCGTGTAGTTTGTCACGTTAGCTCCAAAAGGAAAACTTGTATTGAAATTGATAAAATTCCATGAAGTTCAATAATTCCATAAAAGAAGTTAAAAGTAGCGGTTGTGGCATGTTGAAGCACTTCTTCAACGGTCCCCATATGCTAGGCCTTTCAGCCCTGCTGTGAAGAATTCATGAGTCGGCAAGGAAAAAAAAATTAGATGATATGAAGATTTCGCTGCAAGTCGAGTAACCCAGAATGCAGTGTTTATACAAATTATAATCCTAAAAAAAAAATAAAAATTATGAACGCATAGAAATAAATTAAAACCCAAACGACATCGTATCTCCATTTGTTAGTCCACGTATCCAATTCCCTTGAGAGGGGACAAAAGATCAAAAACCAGTAGCACTTATCAAATCAATTCAATTCCGATAAAGAGAATTTGGCCATTTAACCTCCCTAGACAGTGTATTTGGTTAAATGGCCTTTGACCAACGATAAAAACAAATAACAAAATGTAAAATATTTTACTTAGCAAAATGACAAAATTCTCCTCTAATTGTTAACATAATATCCTCCATTTTTTCTCATTTCATTCTCTTCCACCTTAAAACCCTAATTTCTATTTTTTTTAAATAACGTCTTCTTCTTCTTCCCATTTTCATCTTCTTCAATTTTAGGTCCTCAAGATTACAATCTCCTATTTCTTCTCTTCCATTTTCATTCTTGCTACCCTAAAATTAT